GTGGGGACAAAAAAATTTGATTGGTTAAGGTTGCCTATGTGGGCCATATAGGTAGTTGGGATATGGTTGAATTATTTAATTGGGGAATAAATAGATGCAAGGCTAATTTAGGAAGTGCAAGGATAAAGGGATAGGATGAATAGGGTTAGGGTAGTAAGGTTGAGTTTATGAGGGCATGGGGTATATGGAGTTAATCCCCATGGGCATTTTGATTTTATTAAGAGTTCGGTTTAGGTTCGGTTTTGGTTGGACTGTCTGGGTCTAAGAAAACTTTACCCAAAAACAACCCATATTAGTTTGGTTTGGTTTATGTTTGGTTTAGTTCGGATTTAGTTTGGTTTGTGTTTTATTAGGTTTAATATGGTTTTATTTGTATTTTTCAATTCAATCGAATTAATTTTTTAGTTTTGTTCTAGTTTAATTACAAAAATATAATTTATAAAAACATGAACAAATCATCATTTGACACTAAATCATTGTTTTTCATATTTAAACAAAACTAAATATCACAAAAAATATATGTACAATATGTAATGCAATAATTTCATATTATTATCTTCAAACTTAATATAAAATCATAAAGTATTCGGTTTTGATGTTAATGTATGGATTCATATTTTTAGTTGTGTTTATTCTATTCATTTAGAAGTAAAATATATAAAGTATGAGTTATTTAGGTTAGATGGTTAAATATATTAACTCTAATATTATTACTATATTTACTTAATCTAATTAAAAACATTTCGGTTTTCCGATTTAGTTCGGTTTAAAACCAAATCAAACCGAACCATTCGGGTTGCTAAAATCTTGAACCAAATGGTTTAGACATACATATATACTTTGGTTCGGTTTGTTTGGTTTGGTCCCACCCCTACTTAACATAAAGCTGGGAAGTTAATGCCTTTTCTAACTTCTGGCCTTTAAGTTTGGGCCTCAGAATTGGGTTTAAGAACGTATGTACACCTGCTTCCTTTCTAATCCTCGCTCCGTCTCAAGAACTCGCATTAAGTAACATTTCTTACAGTTCTCTTCTGAAGTTCAATAGTCATACCTAAGAGAACTCCAGAGCCGAAATTCATAACCTATTATGGGATCAGCTTTTTATATTGTTTTCTGTTATTCACATTTAGTATCTCATGAAGTTTTGGCCTACTTGATAAGACGAGAATAACTGCATATGTCATAACAGAGGGATAAACTTGAATGGGAAGAAGAAAATACTTTTTTGAATTGCAACCAATCGTAGGTTAATATGAGGCCTAGTTAATATAGTGATCCGATAAAATGGAGACTCATATCTATACATATGCATGCGAATTACTTTCACACTTAGTGGCCGGAAAATTATATAGTTATATTTTTCATATTACTGTTATTGGTGATTGTGATCCTAATCACAATGATTAAAACAAGATTTGGTGTTTGACTAAGATGGATTTTGTTAGATATGAATTTGCTTTTATTTTTAATGCGACTGAAAAGCAATAGAGACTTTTGTAAAATTAAATAGTATTGCTTCATTTTTGAATTAATTTGTAGTGATTTATATAATGAATTTTACTGGATATAAATTAATGAGATGTTATAAGTTTTGAAAGACTAAGAGTTATATCTTTAACATTTCAATGTAAGTTTTATATTTATTGAATATTGTGTGACCAAGAAAATTATTTAGCCTTTTTAATATTAAAAAAGACTAAATGTTTTAAGACTTCGAAATTGTTACATATTCTGGTTATATTTTTTTGAATAACCTCAGTAACTTGTGTTTTTAGTTATAAATGATCTCATTTTGTTCACTTTCTATTTATATTCTTTTTATTACTTAGTAATAGTAATTTGATTATTAAATATGGGAAAATGGTACTGAAAAAAAATTAATGTTGTGGTTCACTTCTAAAATATTTATTCAGTATAGTTTTGGAGTGATTTTTTTTTCATTTGAACATCCCGTAAGTACGTCGTACAGGTAGAAACAGCAACGTTTATATTAGGAAAATTAATATACATGCATAAATAAAGACACACAATTTACTATTCTCGGTATTGAGATTATTATTTTGGAGTGAATATATATAACTGTTGTTAGTGGGAATAATTGAATTGAACTAAGAAAGCAGCAAACAATTATCTATGCAGATAAAATTTCAGTAATTAGATTTGTTTTGGGCATCAAAATCTCTGTTTCAGCTGAAGCTTTATCTTTTTCATTTTTATCTTTTAGTGAGGATGTGACTATGTGAGATAGTTTGAGATTGAAAAGTCTACTACTCCTCAAGAAACCCATTAAAAAGCAGAGATATATAATTAATTCAAATAAAGAAGAATGCGCTATATTTATTAAGTATGTTGATTTTTATTAAATTAAATATTTAAGTTTATTTTTATTTGACCATATAAGTATATAAGTATATATATGTATATATATATATATAAAAATTCATTTGGAGAAATTACTCACTGTATATGCAATTATAACAGATTATGGGTGCAAATGTTTTGAATTTATTTCTTTCTAAAAAAAAAATGTTTTGAATTTATAAATTTCGCATGAGCCATGAGTGGTTTGCTATTATACCGTACGCAACGACCTAAACTATTTTTTGTTGTCTTGGTTGAAATTTAACCATACTCCCTAGCGATTCCGTACAGGGCATTTGAAGATAGCTATGTTTGTCTATCGCAAGAGACTAAGAATACATTGTCGTCTTTGGCAAAAAAAAAAGGAGTTCAGTGTCGTTCATTCGTCTGTATTAGATTAAAAACTAAGTTTATTGGTGGGATGATTGGTTGGGCTTTAACTAATAACTTTTGCTTTATTTTCTACTTACAACCATATATTTCACCAATCATGCTTTAAGTAGTTTTTAAAGATAAAGTCAAAAAAAAAAAAAATCTGTAAGAACCTTATTTTCTAAAGCAAAAAAAATATTGTTATAGCATTGCTGTAGAAATATTTCCATTTTTTCTCATTTAATTTTTAAAGTTATATTATATACAACTACATCCAAAAATTCTACAGATTAATTTCTACAGTAAATTTTTTACAGTTATAGTCCAACCAATCGCCCCCTAGATTATGAAGTGACTAGATAAAAAAAAATCAATGTATTGGTATTTTTTTAAACTGGCTTTAAAATCAATATTGGTTCATGGAAAGAGAAAGACTAAATACGATAAGTTAATTTTATGATAAGTATAAGAAACAAATGTTAATAATGATTTTCATACTTTTCTAATTTATTTTAGATGCTAAATATAATATTTTATTAAATCTTAAAACTGTTAAGTCACCTCAAATTTGTTAAAACTGAACTTCCGCAAAATATGCTACGTTTAGAAAACACAGTAAAATTAGAAATATAATAGTGTGATGACAAATATATACATATATATATAATAGTGTAGATTTTTCTAAATATTCATCAATTGAATATCTATTGAGTAAAGTAAAAGCAAAACGGAGAAAATTTCGCTTTGTTTATTTTGTTTTATTTCTCGTTAAGCCGTTTTTGTTTTCAAAACGATGTTTATTTGTAACACCATTATAAATGAGGAAGTATACCCTAAACTATCCTCCTAAGTCCTAAACTCTTCTACTCTCTCTTTATCTTTGCTGAATCTCTTAACTTAAAGAGAACAGATTACAAATCTATTTATCTCCAAAAGAGAATCTTCCGTGGCCAGTACAGAGATATCTGAAACTTCAGTTAAATGACTAAATCATCAGCAAATTCGCCGCAGTTTCAGAGATGGAAACTATCGTCCAAAAAGGAAACCTTCGGAGATGGAGACATGTCGAGAGTCACGAGCTCGTTGAGACAGAAGAAGCAAGGGAAACACGGTTTCACAAGGAAGTGTGGGAGACTGGTTAGAGAACAAGGAGCTCGCTTTTACATCATAAGAAAATGCGTCATCATGCTTCTTTGCTGGACTGATAATACTAAGAATTACTCCGACCACTACTAAGTCGATCATCAAATCTTTTTTTTTGTTCTCTTCTTCTTCTTACCTCTGTTTTGATTTCTGGAAATAGATATAGAGATATAAATGGACATAAAGGATCATCCCTTCTGGTTTCTACGTACTCTTTTAGTTGTAGCATAGATTCTAAGTTTGTGTTTTGCTTTTGTTCATGAGTTTTGATGTATGCTCTTGAACAATAGAGAGTGCGAACATTTTTTTGTATTAAATAGTTAATTATATTCATTTTCAACGCTATGATCATATCGACTTAATAGTTTACTATCTGCTTGAACGTGATTGAGCATGTCGTAGTTATCATTAGACCAAACAACGTGCTAGAACTTAATTGTGTTAGGAAAAAAGAATGAACAAATGTAGCGGATTAAATACGTAAATGTCATTAGTATTTTTGAATATCCTTGAAGTCAAAGGACTACGGTGACATGACATTTTAAAGCACTCTGAAAAATAATGTGGTTACTAGTGGATTGAACGTGCGAAATAAAAAAAATTATCTAACTAAAGTACTAATATTTCTTCTTCCTAATGTTGCCCAAAAGTAAAGATTATCTAGCTAAAGATGGCTTATACATAAGTATAAAAAGAATATTTAGAATGGATACTGCAATGTGACGATAACACTTAACATCTTACGTAGTCCACGACTTAAACATGATATTATAAATAGGTTAATGTGGTCATAGAAACGTTATTATAAACAGATTTATAAACCCACTACGTATAACGTATATGTCCCTTAATTTATATTCCTTTAGACTAACAATTATTACCACATTAGTTATAAGAATATTTTGTTGTAGTGCTTAATTAGGCATGGGGAATTAATTAAACAGAGGTGAGGGTAGAAAGATCCAGTCTCTTTAAGAAATTAAGTCACTACTGCTGCTACTCATTGTCATTGAGTTACTGCTGAAGAAGTGATGATAGTTTTTTCTAACAGGTTCTAGATCTAGATCGGTAATCTTCTAGAACCATAAACCATAACATGTTAACTAATTCTTCTTAACAAAGGTCCCATCCGATCCATATTTCTTTGAACCATAAAGTCACTGATTGTTCTATAGAAGATTGTAATATATCGAGGGATTTTTCAGTCAAAAAATAATAAAATGGACGGATATATGATCATTGCAATGCTGAATTAATAACACTTTAATCTCTAAATGGTGTTTAAAAATATAAGAGTAATAGTGGCAAAAATAAATATTATAAGAAATATAATAAGATATCATGAATTCCATTATAAAGAAACAGATTATAATAGTTTAGTTACTGGTGCCAGGACTAGTTTGAAATTGATAGAACTTTATCAGCCATCCCTACAAATCAAAAAGAATCTTGCTAAATGATTATAAAATGTTGATTGTTCATTAGCATGCTTGATTTGGATTTTAGACAAAACTATTGTTTTCACTTTGTGGAATCTTTTGTACTAGTTTGCTCGTAATTATTGGGGTACAAATTTACAAATATACTTTTCTTATTACTTTAAAAAGTGAAAATGGGAGTGAGTGTTTAGCCTAAAGGCAAAAGAAAAGTAGCAGTATCAAAGCGTCAAGTCATCACCTATTTCTACTACTGCATGGGCTTGCATCTCTTGTAGGAGATAGACTTCTTGAAAATTTGGGCTTAATGGGCCATAAAATACGGGTGGCATATGAGAGGACACTCAGAAGAGTGGACAGTCTTTAGCCACTGATCTCTTTCCGGTGGCGTCTGGAAAGAGATTGTAAGCATATACAAATTTTCAATTATTTTTAGTAGTTTCTTTGTTTAATGCTAATCCTATACGTTTACCAAGTAACATATCCCTATTTGATTTTATACTTGCTGAAGAAGTAAAGGTCTTTGACACTACACACAAAGACAATCTGGTTTTCTCCCTTGAGTTAGGATCCGTCAGTGTTATTCAGTCATGAGACATTGCACTTAAGACCATGAAAGTTCTCTAGTTCCACTCTTCCATTCAGTCTTTGATATTTTTAAAAGAAAACATGGGCTATTGGAATATTTTTTACATCAAAATGGGGATCAAATGTATTTACTAGGTCTCACTCAGCTCCATTAATTTAAAAAGATATACCATTTTAGATATCCAAATCCTAGATTTTGAACTTTAGAATTGAGTTGACAATGACATAACATTTTTGTGCTAATTAGCTATAGATGTTGCTGAAAATGAGATGGGCTCTCCAAAACCATCCGTGATGCATAAGCAAAATCAGCTAATGCTGAGCTCCACCAACTCAAAAACTTTAAGCAACAGCTCAAACTAGTTAACTGAAAACCATCACATAATAAAAAAAACATTTACTTTCTACCGTTACACCTTACATTTTCCATGGTGAAAAATATTCAACTTAAAACGTTACCAAAATGCGATGAAAAAAGAAAAACCGAAACCAAATCCATCATCTCCGATCCGTTTTAGTTTTATCGGCAGATGAGAATATAGACGAAGTAGCAGTCTCATGCGGTCTACTATAAAACCTAGCCGAGTCCACAAAATCCTCAAACTCACCACCATTACCACTTCCATCACCAACACACATACTATCATTCTTATCTAAAAAATCCGGCGCAGGGACAACTTCCGGCGACGGATGCTGCTTCTCCAGATACATAACCACTTGTCTCATCGTAGGTCTAACCTCAGGCGAGTTGTTAGAACATAGAAGCCCTAGTTTGATAACCATAACCACTTCCTCTTCATCAAACTCACCGTTCAATCTCCTGTCCACAACATCTCTAATATCTCCACTTTGCCACCTTGACCAAACCCAATCAACCATTACAAGCTCATCAGGTAACGCATTAGTCTCTATAGGTCTTCTCCCACAAGCTACTTCCAACAGAACCGCACCAAACGCGTAAACATCAGTGCTTGTTGTTAACTTTCCTGATTTAGTAAGTTCTGGTGCTAAGTACCCAAACGTGCCAACCACTCTTGTATCTCCAGGGTTCGATCCATGCTCATATAACTTAGCAAGACCAAAATCTCCAACCCGCCCATTCATTTCACCGTCTAATAAAACGTTTGCGGCTTTGATATCGCGGTGAATAACCGTTTGTTCCCATCCTTCATGTAGGTAGAGTAAGCCAGAAGCAACCCCTTTGATAATTTTGAAACGTTGCTTCCACGTCAAGATAACTTTAGGGTTTTCGTCGAACAAGTACATGTCTAAGCTTCCGTTAGGCATGTAATCATAGACCAGAAGCAAATCTTGTCTCCTTCGGCACCAACCTAGTAACTGAACTAGGTTCCTATGCCTGAGGTGACCAATGCTCGAGACTTCAGACATGAACTCACGTACACCTTGTCTTGACTCGTGGGAGATTCTCTTGACGGCTACAAACTCATCTGAATCTGGAAGCTTTCCTTTGTATACTTTCCCAAATCCACCAGACCCGAGAAGCTCCTTGTCTCCAAATCCATTAGTAGCTTTCTTCAACTCTCTATAAGCGAATCTATGAGGACCAAACTCAAGCTCCCATTCTTCAACTCTGTCATCATCTTTTGCCCTTTTGATAAAAAACATAACCGCAGCGACAAGAACCGTGATGATCAAAAGGGAACACGAGAGAGACACTCCAAGGATCAAGCCAGGGCTCTTCTTGTTCTTGTTTGGACGAGGAAGCCGAGGGAGAGATGGTAAAGAGAGAGACAAAGCTTCTCCACTCATGTTAAAGTTCCAACCTAAGATGTAATGAGAACTAGCTAGCAAACCGGTGGAAGCAGAGAAACCAACATACATCTCATCTCCAAAGACAGGAGAGAGATCTACATCGTAAGAGAGAAGAGACAACTTCGGTTTCTCGGAGAATGGAGAGAGCTTAACATTTAACCTTTTCTTGTCTGAATCATAATCAATCCAAGCTTGAAAAACTTGACCACTGTCTAAGAAAAGCTCCTTCTTGGTTGAGTTAGCGAGAAAATAGCCAGCTGGAGTTGAAGTACTTGATTCAAGACTGTTTATATCGATGCCAACATGGTTATCATTGATGTCATCAAAGTCCAAGTCTCTGACGGTATCAAACTCCACAGCTAAGAAGTTGCTTGAGAAGTTAGCTCGGCTCGAATTCAAAAGCCCTAAGTATTGGCTTGGAAGAGAATTTTGAAGATCTGGAGTTGACGTGATGGCGAAGGCAAGTCCGTGGCCTCCAAGCGTGACGTACTCTGGAACCATGACGATTACAAAAGAGGTTGAGAAGGACGTGGTTCGGTTCTGACCGGTTGGTTTGAACCGGATTGGTGAGGAGTAGAAGGCGTGACCGGTCATGCGACTTGTGTCTGTTGTGAGCCTGATGGCTCCTGTGTCGGCGATCCCTGCAACTCCGGACAAGATTAGATTTGGAGAGGCTTCTTTGAAGCCAATGAAAGAGAAGTCTTGAGTGGTAGATGAAGCCAAGTGTGTGAAGCAGATGAGGAGTAGCCAGATGAAGACAAAGGTCTCCATCAACAATGTTTTTTTAGGTTTTGGAATTCTCTGTACCTTGTGAAAGAAGTAAAGAGCTATTAGGTTATAGTTCTAACATATGATCGATTAAGAAGAGGAAGAACTAATGGTGAAGATTATGAAAGCATGTGATGCTGAGAATGATGTTGGTGATTCAGGAACATGTGGTTATTTCTAGGCAGATGACAGTATTAGTTATTCAATATTTAAACATCAAACTGAACTTACTTTTAACTACGGTTATACGAGGTTAGTACTATTTAATATATCGATGTTGTAATTAACATCAGTCGAGATCGTCGGCATTGATTAGTTTAGTGGATGAGCTGTAAGTACGTATATTTTGTAATAGAACGATTACGACTTTAAAATGAATTTCATATGCGTATCCCAGCTACATTTAGTTTCGGAATATGTGGGGATATGTAAACAATCTGTGTCTGTAATGTCTTTATGGACGACAATATTATTATTAACGTTGGTGAGTGATCGTCTCTGTTGCATGATTTTAAAACTGGTATTTTTTTCACTATTTTCAGGTTATTTGATAATACTATATAGTTTAAATTTATGCGTTGGTCCAGAAAGAAAATATGTTGTGAATGATACTTTTAAGCGTTGGCGTATTAGATATCTTTTTGATAAATTATTTAGTTCTTACATTGTTTTATATCATTGCATGCAACTTTAAACGCCAAAAATAGAAAAAAACTTAGTGAATAACAGTGTCTCCAAATTTATCTCTAACTAATCAACTTAGGCTTTAAGTGCCAAAAGTAAATTTGTAAAACCAAATAAAATCAACAAATCACCACCATTGACTACTGATGTTATTACGTACAGTATTTAACTTACATACAGTATTTAAATCACCACCATTCGTTTTTAATAACAGTGCCTATGTAATGTACGGAAGATATTCTTGAGTAACGCAAAAGAATGCCCTTTACAAAAAAAAATAAAAACGCAAAAGAAGTAGAATTAGTTATGATTGAGCATTTTATTCATTAAATTTAATCAGATTCGTTATTTATTTTAATTCCAATCAAAAAATTTGGATATCCCTAAACTTTCAAATCTATGTAAATATAAATTTTCAATCGAGTTAAATGTCCGTTAAAATCGAAGTAAATCACAAATATTAAAATTTTAGAAAGCGGATATTTGTTTCGATCTAGAAATATAAAATTATGTATATATCTTAATTCTATTAAAATTATAAATATATAAAAATATATAATTATTATTCTAACACGTGATTTGATCAATTCTATTTACATTATCACTTATATAAAAGTATTACATAAAAAAATTATAACATTATATTTTTTCTTAAGTTTTGTGTTATTACAATTGTTAAATTAAACTTCAAAATATTAGAAAATATGTAAATTCACTATTTCTTTTATTTTTTTTATATATCATGCAAAATATATTTTACTAAACAAATTTGTATCAAATTTTTTTGATTGTATATATTAAGTAAAACGAATGAGATATCCGTAAGTATTAATAAATATCTATTTATTTTTTGGATATTCATTTTTCAGATATCCATAATTTTTCAAAACATAATAAATACCAAAATTAAATATCCGTAACATATAAAGCAAATCATAAATAACTTTAAAATCCGGATATCCCATCCATGGTCCATCCCTAGAACTAGTTAGACGCTTACAGTGGAGTAACCCCGACGCATACAGCCTGGACACGTGTTCAGTAACGTGGCTTCGGCACCAGTGATGCCTTGGGCAAAGGCACTAAATAAACTAATACCAAGAAAACAACTTTATATACTTTCACCCATTCCAGAAAATTCATCAAATTAAATATGCTAAAGTATTAAGACACGAATTTTTATATAGAATGAATTTTGTTAACATCCACTAGACATTGAAAAATATTGCTATGCATGCATAGTGGAAAAACAAAATCGGGAAACATTGAAATATGAAAAAAAAAGTTTTGGGATAGTACAAGAAGTCAATAAAATTTTCTCAAGAAGTCAATAAAATCACATACTGAAGATAGTGAAAGCAAAATGGAGATGAGATCTGGAGAGATTAATGGATAAAAATTAACATTTTCTAAAAATGGTTGTTGAAAAAAAGAGATCGTTAAGAAAAGAGAGACGTTGAAACTTAATAAAGTAGAAAATGATTTACTAGTAATTATAGTCATGACAAATGTTAGTTAAATAATGGAATGTTGGAATAAATAGATAATTAGTGTTAATAATTAAAATGTGTAAACATGAAAACCTGAAATTTAATTAATATTGTAAAAAAAAAATAGCGTAATCATGGTTTGAAACGGGTTGTCCGGAAAGGCGTATCGCCGGTGGAGAATTGTACCGGTCAAGACTGGCTCAGATTTCGACTATTTTGACCAAATAGAGAGCTGAATTTGAACAAAAAGAAAACAAATCGAGCTATCCATTTTATTTTGGCTAAAATGGTTGGTTCCAATTCACTAGATGCGTTTAAAAGATAAAGAAAATCATTATAAGTTATTTAAAACTAAAAGAAAATTAGAAGCAAAAACTGAACAAAATTTTACTAATTTACACCCCTCTAAGTCCTGTTAGCACCTCAAAGAGCAGTATAATTGAAGAAATCAATATGTTAGTTATACCGAACTTTAATACTGTGCCTAAAAAATCACGAAGCTGCCTGCTGCTTTAATTGGGTAGCTAACATTGTAACTATTTCCAAACGAATATTTATTCTTTTAGTTTTTTATGAAATTATTATAAATAATAAGTTATAAAAATACAAATTTGCTACTGACTTTAGTTATGATGGGACCAAATCTTCCGTACTTTTGTTTTGGTTTTGCTTGAAGTGCAAGTGTTACATAAAAGGAAATGGTAAGACCAAAGACTGTAAAAATATCCAAAAAAGGAAAAAATGCCAATTCTTATCTTATAAAACCACTTTTTTGACCATATTAAAGACCTTGGGACCAAAACCAAATAGCAACATCAACGGAATCACCTTTGTTGAAATACCAAATAATTTTCACTAGAAGAGTAAACAACAAACGTATGTTAAATAACAAAGTATTTATGAAACATAAACCGCTGCCAACCTAGAATTTCATTTTGTATGCCTAAAGATTCAAAAAAATGAAGCATATATGAACTCCTTAAATCCACATATCTATTTATAAAGCAAACCCCTCCCTTGATAACTCTTTATCCCATCACAAGCTCAAGAAAGCAAGGCAGTAAAGCAATATACCCAAACTAGACTACTAACCAGCGCCAACAGGCAACAAGTAAGAGATTGAAGAGCAAAGATGTAAGAAATGATTCGAACTATGCTCCATAGTCCATATGAACAAAAGGTCTTAAAGTACGAGAAAGATCAATAAGAATAACACTTACCACACACACAGAAAGACTTTGCTCAGGTTTATCAACATAATAAAGAGAAGAACATTAAAGCTCCAAACCGATTTTACGATCAGTTTAACATTCATATCATAAAAGCTATCCGAGATCAGTCAGAAAAACTAGTAATAACCGCCACAAAACAAACAAAAACTAGCTAGAAGTTATCCGAGCTTAATAAACAAAAGTCTAACCACCCCTAAATAATCTCAAAAGATGAAAACATAACCATCCCAGCTAAAAGAACAACATGCAACCATCACTTATCTAACTATCAATACGATGGAGGAGCACGAGGCGGTGGAGCACCCCAAAACACGTCTTGTTGACCATTTGGCATAAAACCAGGAGGGATATTATACATCGGAGGTGGCGGTGCTTGCATGGTCCCTTCGTTACCATCATTCCCACCCTCGTTATCATCATTCTCTTTCTCCTTCTTAGCTTCTTCTATTTGCGGTTGTTGTTGCTCATCTTCAATAGGTAACCTCTCGTAAGTAGCATTACAAAACGTAGCAGCGATAACAATAACCGGTCCAGAAGCAATAAGCGGTCCAGCTACTCCACCTCCCAAGACTTGACCCTGAGGTCCAGCTAAGTAAACCGTTAAACCGGCCGCTGCAGCCGGAGAGCCAGAGGTCGGAAGAAAAGCACCGCACATAGACAAGATCTCAAACTGACCACGAAGAGACACAACTCCTCCAGACACAGCAGGCTGACGCAGTGTGACATTAGTGACCAAACCGCTACCGCTCAGAACAGAAACGCCTCTCCCCCGTCTACGAGCAAAGGCGTTTAGGGCTTCCGCCACGTCAGCACCCGTGGCTATCTCGAGGACGTGGCTTTGCAGCGAGTTGGGGCTTTCTTTGGAGACAATCACTGGGCTCTTCGGTTTGTTCTTGGAACCTGGAGGTCTCCCTCTCGGACGACGACCCGTAGACCCGGATCCAGATCCGGGTTCGATAGCAAGTACTTCATCTCGGCTATTATGTTCGTCTTGGCTGTTCTGAGTCTGTGTCTGAGTGTTAGGGCTTCCACTGTTGTTGGTGAAGTCATGGTCCATTCTTGGATCCGACCGAGGCATACTTGGGTTATTGCTTCTGTGGTGCAAAGAAAGAGCTGATGACGTTACTGGACTCTCTACTCCTCCCATAGCAACGTTCCCTACCCACCAAGGATTCGCCATTGATTTACTGTTTTTTTTCTTTGTTGCTGCTTAACTATTACAAAGGGGGAAGATAAAAATATGAAAACCTTATCCTAAAGTTTAGATTACATCTTTTGTAACCAAATCTGAA